CAGAGCTGTCACGGTGTAGGCAGTTGATTACCGTTGATGCAGTGCTGTAACATGGTGTTTTCCTGAGCGTATTTTAAAACCAAGGGCTTGAAAATCCATGGCTGCCCATGTCTAGAAATCTCATATGGAGGAACACGTGTCCTTCTCGGCTGTTCTCTACTAGTAGGTTCACCTAACATCTTGGAAAAACTATCCCCAGATTGTATTTTATCCTACTCTTTTTTTGGTGGTTGTTAGGGTAACGTTCTTTTTTTGAGCAAGATTTTATTAATTTGTGTAATACAGATGGTAAGAGATTAAAAAATAAAGGTTTCTTGTGTATATCTGACCTTTCCTTGAGTAGAAATAAAACTTAAAAAAAAAAAAACCCAAACCATAAAACTCAGCATGTGTTCAGGATATTACTTTCCTGGTAAAGATGAAACTGTTAGAATTAAATGGAACCATAATAGGGTCGCTGTTATTTCATTCATCCTGCAAATCCTTACTTGTAGATGTTGAAAAATGGACATATGATATGTAATTCCTCTATCACTGTGGTTGTTTGGAATTACTTGTTAGAGCACATTTCTTTGTTAGGGGCCTTCTGTTGAAAATGCTGTAACGCTGTGAGATTTTGGCGATTTTCTTGTTCAGTCACGTAATGATGTCTTGAGTACCAGGTTTAAGTCTTTGCTTACAGGATACTGTAAATCCAGTGGCATGACTGCTAGTGGGTAATGCTGAGTACAGGAGGACATTTTTCTGCTGCTTTTTCTGAACGGTTAATATTTTCAGGTATGCAATGAAATGTTTAGATAAGAAGAGAATCAAGATGAAGCAAGGAGAAACGTTAGCCTTAAATGAAAGAATTATGCTGTCTCTTGTCAGTACGGGAGTAAGTATCATTGATTTGTTATTCTTTTTTGCATATATAACAGCTTTTATATATAATACGTATTCTATCAATTCAGTGGTGTGACACGCAAAAGTTAAACCCCCTCTGGAACCTCCCCCCTGATTCTAGCAATGTGTCTGGGATAAAAATGGAAAAGCAAGCTTGCTTCTCTTGCTACCCATCAGGTCATTTTCCCCTGCTGTTAGACATATCCTGGTAAGGCAAATCCAGAACCAGAAATTAGGGAAGCTACACATCAAGGACGAGGTATTTCCTCTTGTGCCTTTCCTTGGAAACTCCTCCCTTGCCCCAACCTTTCTCTGGAGAAGGGCAGGCAGGTGCTGAAATTAGAAGTCAGCGCATTTCCTTTAACACAGAATTGCATTCACGTTTGGCTTGAACATAAAGATAGATAAAGGACTGGAAAGTGTTTCTTTGTTCTTTTACCTGTGCAATTAACAGCTGGGGTGTATCGTTAGACTTTGATTAATCAAATTAACTGTTTTCACCAAAGGTAAGTTGTGGCTTGTCCAAAAGAGTCTTGAGAACCAGTGGGGTGAAGTTCTGTAGCAGAAACTAGACAAGAAATCTAGGCAAATTAGTAGTAATGGTTCTGTTAACTCTAATTTGTGATTCTGTTGCTCCAGTACTGAATGTGAATTTTCATTTCTAGCGATTCAAAAAGAAAATTGTTCTCAAGGCTGCTAATGGTGGAGCTGGTTTTCTTACGTCACAGTGCCTAGCTAGTCATCGAGCAGCAGCAGAGCCACACAAACCATTTGGGGTTCTTTTGCTAAAGACTATCAGCTCATTAGCCTGCAACATCTTTAGATTCTCAGAAATTTGAAAGAGAGTGTAGAAAAGAGAGATTTTGTACAAGATGCGACCCATTCAGGCTGGATACACCTGGTGCCAGAGAAACAGGAGTGTTTTGAATATATGGAATTCAGTAGGTTTGGAAATGGTAGAATAAGGTAATTCATTTCACTCCTGAATGAAGCTGTTGGGTTTGAATGGCACACGCCTTCCCCCATAATGGAATTTTATGTGCTGCCCGGAACAAAATGAAACTGGGAAGTTCATCATAGTACAATTAGTCATTTAACTGGGAATCCAGATGTCTCTGAAAAAGACATAACAGCTGTGCAGATTACACATACGTTTGTGTAATCAGTTTTGTTAATCCACCTAAAATTTTGGCATTCACAACTACTTCTTGAATAGGGAGTTCGCAAATGTGAGTTCACGGTGGCCGCGCTGTGCGAACGCCTTTCCGCGGTCACGGTTGGAATCAGCGCGGCTCAGAAGTACGACAGACTTCGCAGAGTACAGGGAGCTCCTGGGATTAACGTGGGCTCTGCGTTGTTAGGACTCTCCGTTTGTGCCTTTGCTTTGTCACTGGCTGTTGGTGTAATGTGGACAAACTCTTGCTGAGGTTTGCGTTTCCTGTTCTGCGAGATACAGGCCCTGTCTTCCTCTCCCACGGAGATGTTCAGGCTGGAAATGCACTTTGAAATTCTTAGAAGATAGCATAGGAGGGAAAAATACTCTACTTTCTGTTAAAACTTAAAAAAAAGAGTATTTCCTGTAATACCCAATATTTGCCTACAGTTCAAAAACTGGAACGCTGAAATCACCGTGATCATCGCTGCCCATGGGCTGTATAAAAACAAGGGGCTGTTGGTGGAAGGAAGTGGTTATTTAATAAATCTTTTCCTGGCAGGCAGGAGGTGGTCATTCCAGCAGCCCTTTGCAAGACCTTGCAGGAATGTGGCTTCACTCCACTGTGTCTTCTAATTCTCTTCTGGAAGAATTAGGCAGTTAAGCTGTCTTAATCACCTCTTTTGAGATAATTTGACTAACGACTGGATTCAAGAGTCATAGAATCACTGAATGGTTTGAGCTGGAAGGGACCTTAAAGATCATCCAGTTCCAACCCCCCTGCCATGGGCAGGGACACCTTCCATTAGACCAGGTTGCTCCAAGCCTCATCCAGCCTGGCCTTGGACACTTCCAGGGATGGGGCATCCACAGCTTCTCTGGGCAACCTGTCCCAGTGCCTCCCCACCCTCTCCGGGAAGAATTTCTTCCTGATATCCAATCTAAACCTCCCCACTTTCAATTTAAACCCATTACCCCTTGTCCTGTCACTACAGGCCCTTGTAAAAAGTCCCCTCCCAGCTTCCTTGTAGCCCCTTCAGGTACTGGAAGGTGCTGTAAGGTCTCCCCGGAGCCTTCTCTTCTCCAGGCTGAACACCCCCAACTCTCAGCCTTTCAGTCCCTCAAAGGGACGATTAAGTATAAGGTGGAGCAAAAATGGTCAGGCTGAAGAATAAAACATCTGAGATCAATAATCAAATATATTTTTTTCTGAGAAGAACAGGTACTTTGTTTTCACATGTACCGAGATCTTTAAGAGTCTCGATTTCACTTGGAAGGTAGAATCAATTCCCAAATCATGGAGGAACATCTGTAGGAATGGCTCAGTGTTTCCAGCACTGACGTGCACATCTCTCTGAGCGAGACCTGCCAGGACAGGGCTGTTCTCTAGTTAAAAATGCTACACGGCTCCTCTCCACTGAGAACACAATTTTCTACCTGTTTGCTGTCATTTCTACAGCCGGGTGCTCGGGTTACAGGGAAGAGTCCGAATCAGAGGTTTGCTAGAGTAATGGCTAGTGTGCTGATGTCCTTTAAAATATTACATTCCTATAATTTTTATAGTTATACTAATTTTTTTTCCTCCCACATGATTTATTAGCAGCAACTTGCCTTCTACATTTTTTTACGCTTAATCCAGGATTATTTGGACGTAACGAGGTTGCCAAACTATTCTGAATTCACACACTGTTATACTGTCGCTTATTTTTTTCGCAGAAGAAGCTTGACTGCAATCAAGTATTACTCTCTTGGGAAATTTGCTTTATTGCTTTATGTTTGATTAAAATAAAACCCCAAAACTATAGTTTTTTATTTTATTTTTATGCTGAAAAATACTCTTGCGCAGCAGTTTTTGAGTCAGAAAAAAATCACAGTATTATTCTCTGTTAAACAGTGAGGGGTTGGTGATTAAACTAGGAAGGCTTACACAAAAATGAGTTATGCATCACATTTAAACTTGCAGATTTCTTTTAAAAATGGGTTCCATAAAAATCCAGGCATGTTGTGTTCTGGGATAAAAACCCCTTTTTATTTTTCTACGTATGGTGTTTAAATTCTAACACTGATTCCTTCTGGGTGATGTGATTGCTCTAAGGTTTTAGCAAGCCTACTTGGGGACACTTCGGAATTATCCAGTGCGTTCAGGAAATGAAGTTAATAATTCTACTAAAGCTTTGTTTTGGGAGTTAAGTCGTAACTACGATAGTCTGCAGTTAATGTGCAGTGCAAAGTTTGTAACGAGAAGCAGCATCTTTTGTTAGATGCCATATTCCCTTGCCCATCATCTCCTTATTTCTAGGACTGTTTAGCAATTAGGCATTTCTCAGGCGTGTTTCTGCGGGGTGTTTCAAGCACAGCCCCGCTCTGCCCAAGGCCACCGTGTTTTGCTGCTTCTAAATTGGGAAGGAAACGAGTTCCTGTGAGATATTCCCAGAGCTTTCACTATCAATACTGCAACGATTAACGCATTGTTCAAGTCACGTTAGGTCACATTCTGCTTCCTGTGTCTTCTCCTGGCTCGTCAGCGCTTAAGCTCGTCTTAGCTCATCTTAGCTCACCTTCCTGTCAGCCCCCGCGCTTTGGGGTCAGACCATTGTATCTGTTTCCACAGCAGCCATTCCTTAAGTTTTCATTGTAGGCTGACGGGACACCCCTGGGTTCTTGTGGTTTTGGAGGAGGGGTCGACACTGTCACAGCCACTCCCTGTTAATTAGCCACTTACATCCAATTAGGCCTAATGAAGAGAGGAAGGTCTGCCAACTTTCTGCCGTGGCGTCTGGAGCAGATCATTGGCAGTCAAGAGGTGCTTTTCCAGCTGTACTTTTTGATGGCTGCTTGTCTCGAACATCCGTGTGAATTAAGGCTGAAGTGCCTCAAGAAGTGGGAATGTACTCCATGTAACCCATCCCTTCGCCTGGCCGCTCGCAGCCACGTCCCTAAGTCTGCACCCCACCGCACTGATTTTCTGGGTTTTGCATAATCCGGACCGTGCATCTTGCTTCCCGTGCATCGCGTACGCGTCAGGGTTACGACTTCCTTCCTGGAGCGTTCCTGTTCCTTGCAATCGTCTGCGTGAGTGGTGCTGGAGAGCTGAAGGGCGGCAGCGGGCGGCAGGACGCCTCGCTGTCACCTTTGTGCTCGGTGGGTGGAGAGGCTGTTACCGGGGTAGCTGCCTTTAATGTAGAGGTGAGGATAAAACTCCCTTTCCTTTGGGATTTTGTACGTGACGTGACTCAGGTTCTCAGTTGGTGTCCTGACAGCAGAACATTCACCATGCGGTTTTGGGAAGTAGTGTGTATCCTTTACACTTCCCGGGAACAGCTGTATTTTTTTCCTGAGCTGGCCTAAAACTTGTTAGCTTTAATGTAGCTTTCATGTAAGTCTAGCACAAACTCAAGTAAATATGTTTATAATATGCTGTAACTTAAAGTCTTTAGAAGGTAGTGATGCTACCTGCACTTTTTAAGCCTTTGGCTTGTCATAGCTTTTTTTGGGCTTTCTTGTGTTAAATTAGATAGCAAAATCTGAGATCTCTAAACTGTAAGTGAAATATCAGAGTATGCAGATTAGTACACAATTTTGCCAATATTCTTACTCATTTCCTAATATCATAGGAAAAAATACCATGCGTATTTGTAGCTTTTCTGAGTACTAATTTGCTTATTGCCCGACGTGAACTCTTTGCTCCTTTCCTTCTAGGACTGTCCTTTTATAGTGTGTATGACCTATGCCTTCCACACCCCTGACAAACTCTGTTTCATTCTGGACCTGATGAATGGTAAGTAAGGCTCGTGCAGACAATGATAATATTCCAGAAATACTGACTTGCTCAGTCAGAGGGAGAAAGACGGGAAAACAATTAGAGGTACGAAGCATCCGCCTGCCAGCGGGAGGAGTAAATAGGTCTAAAGCAGGGAAAGTATAGAACAGACTGAAAAATCTCTCATACCTCATAAGAGGAACATATTTAAATAAAGATACCAAAGGGCCTGCTCGTCTGGAAGCGTAAGGAAATGATGGTCATGTGGAGAGGTGTGTGAGGAGATCAGAGACACAGATTTCGGGATAAAAATAAAAGGGTTACTATAAAGAACTTCGTAAAGAAAATAGATGGGGGAAGCATTCCTCAAAGGAAAAACATTATACCTAGAAGCCTCAGCATAACTCTTAGGGGAACAGAAGGAGGAGTTGCTAGAGTTATGAGAGAGAAGATACTGCAGTTCCCTTACTTGCTGAGGATGCTCAGCCCTTGTGGGACTGGGACTGTGGTCCTGCGGGTAAGCACCTAGAGATGTTGGAGCACATCTGCAGGTACCAGGGTGCAAAGCTGGGAATCTAATGGAAAAATAGAGCTCGTACCCTGCTGGAGGCTGGCTTTGGTGTTGTGCGAGTGAAGATTCTCATTAAAATCTAAGCTGTAGGTCAAATTCAAGGTTGATTATCTTAAATCTGTAGCTTGATCAGAAACAATTTTGTAGGAATATGCACCATGTGATGTGTTAATGGTGTGGATTAGCTCACCGAGTGACATTGGATTGTGCCTGTTCTTTGATTAGGCAAGTGTGAAAACATCCCCAGCATGAATATTTGAATATTTTGGCCCGGGTGTCCTTTCTAGGTCCCTCCAAACCTGGGCACTTCTACATGCTAATTCATTCAGTTCTCCAGAAACCTGTCTGTGACTGAATGCAAATGTGTCTGAAGTAAATGCATTTTTTTAAGGGAGTTTCAGGTTGATCAAATTTATTTATTAACTTCATCAGGTGTTTTGTCACCATGTGTACCTACAGAGTGTATGTCTGCATTCCTGTGTGCTTCAAACGTTACAAGAAGCTACAAATGCTTTTTTTCCCCACCTACGTCATGCTGTCTGCCTGAGAGGCAAGGTTTTACTGCTCTTTTAATTGCATCTCAATTCCTCTAATTTCAGGAGGAGATTTGCACTACCACCTCTCCCAGCACGGAGTGTTTTCTGAAAAAGAAATGAGGTTTTATGCTACTGAAATTATCCTGGGTTTAGAACACATGCACAATCGCTTTGTTGTATACAGAGACCTAAAGGTAATCGTTAACGTAGTGACTGCGTTCACTCAGGTGGTTGTTAGATAGCAGCAAACAATCCAGAGATACCAAGGAGTTAAATGAAGTATCTTCTTCATTTAAGAGAAGGGAAGGCTCCAGGGAGACCTTATAGCACCTTCCAGTGCCTGGGGGGTGCTACAAGGAAGCTGGGGGGGACTTTTTACAAGGGTCTGTAGTGACAGGACAAGGGGTAACGGGTTTAAATTGAAAGTGAGGAGATTTAGATGAGATATCAGGAAGAAATTCTTCCCAGAGAGGGTGGGGACGCACTGGGACAGGTTGCCCAGAGATGTTGTGGATGCCCCATCCCTGGAAGTGTCCAAGGCCAGGCTGGATGAGGCTTGGAGCAACCTGGTCTAGTGCAAGGTGTCCCTGCCCATGGCAGGGGGGTTGGAACTAGATGATGTTTAAGGTCCCTTCCAGCTCAAACCATTTTATGATTCTGTGATCTTACCTGAAATGTTTTTTTGGGGGGGAAGAATACAGATAAATGGTTTATTTTTGGCTGATTTTTCTAATAATTTTTCAGTATTGTTCTGATCTGTGTTATCCTCTCATTTAACCAGCCTGGGAGATAATCCCTTGGGGTCAGAATAAGTCCTGTGCAGTGTAACTCATCTCACCATCTTAAAGATTCTATTAACGTAGAGTGTACTATGTCTCTGAGAGCCCTGTAAGAGGCGTGAGTCTGATGGGAGACTAATAGGAAGACAGTTGCTCTGGAGCATTTCACTGATGATTGGGAAGTTCAGAACTGCTCCCAGAGAGGTGTCTGTGAGCCAGGTGACAACAAAAGTGGGGGAAAAATCTGCGCAGAGAGCACAGGGTGTAAATTGCAAGTAAAATCTGTAAGACTCTTCTCTGAAAGAACCAAAAGCAATATGGACTTGAGGCCAAAGCAGATTTATTCTTTCATTTGCTTTCCATTTCAAACCTTCCCTGGTTGTTCTGTTATTAGTCAGTATTTCATAATCTCCTCTGGAGATGATGGTACTGCCCCCTTAGAATGTAGATTTTATCTAGAAAGTGTCTGTGACATTGATGTAAAAAAAAGGCAGTTACAATTACCAGAGAGTAGTGATGTTTGAGAATGAGTTACTGTGCTCTGAGAATTTGTCATCCCGTCCAGCGAAGAATACCGAGTGGTGACCTTTCTGTGTTTGTGTGTTTCTAGCCTGCCAATATCTTGTTGGATGAACACGGGCACGTGAGGATATCAGACCTTGGGCTAGCTTGCGATTTTTCCAAAAAGAAGCCACATGCTAGTGTGTAAGTATTGTGGGAGCTTTGCAGCACGTACAGCTATTGCTGAATAAGTCCTTCATGTGTCTTTTATAATTTAACCTCGCCTAAAGGAGAAAAACAACACTTGCGTGGCACAGGCTTGCTTTACAGTAAAACATAGCTAAGCTGGATACTCTAATAAGGTTTTTGAGTCTCTTCTCTCTGTTTTCCTGCACCGTTGTAGCAGCTGATGTGTAGGCTTGGCTGGAAGATGACACATTATTTCGAGATGATTCACTGTTCAGAGAAGATAAGAACCTGACTGAGTTAAAGTACCAGATTGTTTTAATTGTCCTTAATGGATAATTAAGTATTCTGCCACTGACTGAAAAACAGGATTTATTGTGTCTTTCTCTTTCTGGATCTATGTGGAACTGGAGGCAAGTTGTGTTCCTTTCTGCCTCTTGGCATCAGGTCATATCTGGGATCTGAATTTCTTGGGATGTGTGTGGATTCCACATCTTATCTGGCACATTTTATTCTTAGGTCCTCATTTGCCCTGAATTTAGTCTCAGAATTTATGCAAAAAGGAAAGCTTCATCCTGTCATGTCTTAAAAGATTTGCGGTGTAGTAGCTTCTTGAAGAAGCTTGTACATTCTGATTGCATCGAGGGTAAAAGCCCTCAGTGGGTAAAAGCATGGTGCCTGCTTTGCTGTGGTGACCAGCGGTGGTTTCTGGAGGAGATGTCTTGGTGTCAGGTCTAGCACTCAGGTGTTAGCTGGAAGGAGACACATGAAACACCTTGTGAGAGCATGAGCCAGCTCTGCTCGCCCTGTTTCTGTGGCTGGGGTAAGAGCTGGTCTCAGTCTTGCAGGGCCCAGGGCTGGAGCCATCTGGCCTGAAGCATCAGGAGCCCTGACTCTGTGCTGGTGTCTGTCTTTCCTGTACATGGAGTGGACAGAGTGCCCAACTCCTGCCTCTCTCTCATGTTCCAGTCTTAGACAGAAGGCTGCTGCCTAACCCTATACTGATCCTGCTAAATCTCTCTGTAGCTGCTTCAGTTTGCCTCATCCTTTCTGTTGTTTATGCTTTAAGGTATTTCCTCAGTAGATATATACAAACAGAAAACAGGCAAATGTATGTATAGCTAAAGAAAAATCGAAATAAAATCATGTTTAAAATGAATTCTCTTTAGGCTCTTACGAGAAAACACTGATTTTTATTTTTGACTGTATTTTTTTACAGTGATAGTTTTATTTGTAATCAAGATTATTTTGTCCCTTTCCACTTCTCAGAGGTACCCATGGCTACATGGCTCCAGAGGTGCTCCAGAAGGGAACAGCGTACGACAGCAGTGCAGACTGGTTCTCGTTAGGCTGCATGCTTTTCAAACTTCTGAGGGGGTGAGTGAAGTTTTATATCTAGTATGGGTTTTTTTGTTTTTGAGCATGGGCTTCGTCGTTGTCTCTCCCTTGAAGTACTAATACGTGACCTACTACATATTATCTGAAATGATACGTTTCTGCTGTCTTGGCAGTTTAGGCCATGTCTGCACGTGAGACTAAACCAGGCTTTTTTTTGCTTCCAAACCAAACAAAACACAAGCCCTGCTTCCCTTAGTAGGTGCAGGGCAGCGAGGAAGGCAGATGCTCTGTCCACTCCTTTGACTTCTGCTGATAGGCAATTTACTCATCTCTTGGCAATTGTTAGTATTTTAAACAATAGGGTGTTATTCGTCCGCCAGCAGTCCTGTTGAATTACGGACTTGATGTTGTGCTTAAGACCTGCTGTTAGGGTGAACTCTTTGCTGCACTGTTCCCTTTTTAGCAGGATACTCGGTTACTTTCCTTCCTTGGGTAAGTTGTAATGTGTGGATGCTTCCATTTGCTGCCTCTGGCCCGTAACCCTATTGGTGTACAGAATATGATAATTACAGCTTCGTTAACTATTACCTTTTCAGTAAACTTATGTGGCTGTGTAGAATTTATTAAGACTCAGAGATTGATCTGAATGGTCAGTAAGCACTGATTGGCAAGTGTTGACAATAGCATCCTCGTGTTAATGGTGAAACAAAAAGTCTGTTAAGCTCTTCAGAGTGCTTCTCTGTAAAGTCTAATCATTAGTTGGATCATCCTGTGTCCTCGCACTAATTAATTATAAGCTCTTACCTCTCTCCCAGACACTGTACAAAGGTAAGCACATGGCTGCTGAATGGAAGTATAAAGCTGTATCAATTTAACAGTAATTGTTCACAGAATAGACTAAATGTAAGTGTGCGAATAAAGAAAGAAATGGTGCTTAAATTGGGGGGGGGAAAAGTGTTTCTAAGCATGGACAGCGTCGTGCAGCTGTGAGCAGCATTCTCTCTCTAAACATTCGCTGAAGAATTCTGTAGGTGGAAAGACCCACAACCACGTGGGTTTGCCAGGAGGAGAGTGGGGAGCATCTTTCCCAGGCAGGACCACTGTGTGCTCGGAGTCTGGTGAGAGCTTTTCCTTTCAAGTCACTTGAGCACCCAGAGGATTAGGGCATCCAACCGACTGGCGTGGTTCTTCCTTCACAGGACAGAAGCTGTCTGATGAAAGAACTAGCACCTAGGGGCAGATGGTCCCACTGGCCACGGAAACTCGGGCTTGTGGGGCAGGGAGAGCTGTCTCTCTGGACTGTTGATTCTTCCCGAGAGATGTGCAGGGCGGTATCGGTGGTCGGCCAGAAGCCAAAGCATTATTCATTGTGAACGATCCTTCCTCATCTGGTCTGAAGCCACTTAAGCAACTCGCATCCCAAAACAAGGGTTGGGCACATGGTGCCATTTCTTGGTGTTTAGTAAATTTAATCTGGCATAAAATCTGCCCATAAGCCCACAGTGAGTTATTTGCTTCCATGATCTACTCAGAGCCTCACTCTCAGGCTATATGAGGCTGTATGTTAGCCATTTACTCCTGCTTTCTTACCTATCGTACATAAAAACAGAGGAATGGAATTCCTGCCCTGTCCATCAGATCCATCCACCAGAAATGTTTTTGAGGATAAAAGGGAAATAACTCTTTGAGTGGCAGGTCCCCAGTTGAAAGAAGCTAGTGGCAAGACAAAATGATATGTAATAGCTAATTAATGTATTCATAAGTAAATAACATTTTAATTTTGAAAAATATCATTCCCTCAAAATATTGAAGAAAACGAAGAAACAGGGAATATATCAAAAATCTAATAAAAAACCCTCATACTAAAATGTTTCTGCTTTCTTTCCTGCTGTTACTTAAGCACTGCATGGTAAATCTGTAATATGCTAAGGTCTTCCTTACCTAAAAGAAAGAAGTCAAGCTCAGAACATAATAGGAAAGGGATAAAGCTGATAATTTACCAGGTATCATGGAATGTCTTCCGGTCGTGGATGCCGAGGTGTCTGTGATTACCCTCTCTGGCATCTCCTTACTTTAAATCTGGCTTCATTCTCCCGTGTTGGGTCCGTACTCGGCCTCCAGGTGCAGATCCACGTTGTTAAAGGTCTGTGTTGTGGTAGCTGCTGGGGGCTGCTTCTTAGATGAAGCTGGTCTGGGAGACAGGTGTAATTGGCAAGGCCTTTGGAACACCATCTTTAGGGACGGATCAGTGCATTTAAGAATAAACTAACCCTCTGCGTGCCTTTATATGGAGTAACTAGATTAGATTTCCCCGAGTTCCATACTCCTCAGGGCTGTCGGTGCGCAGGCTTGAAAGAAACCGAGTGGTGGCTGCTCTCTGAACTGCATTTTTGATGCCCACGGCATGCGATTGTACTGAAAAAGGAAGGGATAACGTTTTTTTTGCAAAGTGGTGCAGCCCTTTGTAGTAATAAAAGAAAACAAAGTTGTAAAAGATCAAACCATGCCTTGATATTTTTGAGGTAGCCAGTGGCCACAGTATGCTAGTGTGTGAAGACTCATTTTTCATTGTAAATGCTAAATGTTTCACGACTTGTTGAATTGTTCTGCAGGACAGGATTGATGAGGTGGAAGAATGGGACTTAAAGGATGCTACGTGCTTTCCTGGTGTTGCCACAGCTGAAATGACCTGATTTGTTATGGCTTTACATTCATTAGTGTGTTTTCTTATTTCTACAGTCACAGTCCTTTCAGGCAGCACAAAACCAAAGATAAGCATGAGATCGACCGGATGACGCTCACCGTGGTAAGGAGCCTGCTGACAGTTGTGGTTACATTCCTCTGATTTAATAAACTCCCATTTCCTTTAAAAACTGGAACCATATAGCCTGCTTTCTGCGAAAGCTGTCTTTACACATGAGGAGTTCTTTACAAACACTGTTAAAGAAAAGCTGCTCCCCTATGTGGGACTATTTAATTATAGACTCCTTCTATAACTTAAGTGTCTCTCTTGGTACTTCTTTTTTTCGCAGAATGTGGAACTACCAGATTCATTTTCTCCTGAACTGAAGTCCCTTTTGGAAGGGCTCCTGCAGCGGGATGTTAGCAAGAGACTTGGATGCCAAGGGAGAAGGTAAGCGTTGTCTTCTCCTTGGACCACTGCCTTTAAAAATTTCCACTTCTCTGTAAGTGAATGAATTCATTTAAAGTAAAAAATCTGCTTCCTGTTGTGATGATTTTGATTTTGGAAAGAGAACATTAAAAAGCGTAGTTGCATGGATTTACATTTCAGTTTGCTTTTGGTTTGGACAAATTTTTGGACCGTTTCTGTCATTGAAGCCTTACCCCGAGGTCTCTGCAGCCATGCTGACGTTGGATGGTGTTCATCCTTTTCATTCCTCTGTTGTGTTTATGGTTTTGCCTGATCTGTTTTGGCATGAAGTCGTATCACTTGATTCAGACATATTGATAGCTAAAATGTATTGCTTATGTTGTAGCTGTAATAATAAGAGCATATTACACACACACACAAAAACCCCAACCCCCAAACTCCCAGGCACAGAAAGCTGTGAATACTTTCTTCTTTTTGAGTTGCCTCTATTTCCAGATATACCTGTTTTTTTTCATGATTCTGAGGAAAAGGGCATTTATTTCTTATGTTTATTGACTACAGAACACTACTTGCTCCTGCTGAGTTTACCTTGCTTATGGCTGTTAACTGGAATTGCACTCATCACCTGTTTAAACAGCCAGCGTGTGCCTCGTGTGAGGCCAGGAGAGAAAACTGAGAGGAGTAAATAACTGCTGAGAAGCCCTTGGCGATGTGATACCTGTAAATTGATAGTCACACCTGAGACTGGGTGTCCCTCGAATTCCAGTGAGACATTCAGAGGGTTGTTTATCCTGGAGACCTCTGCGATAGTGACCTGAGTTTGCTTTTCAGCCTTGGGCTCACCAAGCGTAGTTCTTTATTTTGCCATAAAATATGAATAGTATCAAATGGAGTGGCATAAGCTCATTACTTAGACGCTGTGTATGGGATCTGACAACGGGTGAGCATTGTGTGCTGTTGGAACTGGTGGGATACCAGCAAAACAAGAGGTTTTTTTTTGCACAAGAAGCAAAACAAGTGCCAGACACTATTTCCGGTCCTTCCACATCAAAGTCTTCTGTTGTTTACTTAGGGAGACTTTTTTCTCCTTAAAAATAAAGAGCATTTTACCAATGTTTCAGGTAATGGAAATGTGACCTTTGAGTGCTTTATATTTCTCAATTACATTTGAAAAGCCCCTTCATTTTGTTGACTTCAGTTACTTTTATTTTGCAGTGCACAAGAAGTAAAAGAACATCCTTTCTTCAAAGGCATTGACTGGCAGCAAGTCTATTTACAAAAGGTAAAGGATTAAGATAGTAACCTTAGCTGACTTGGGAAAGCAGTGGAAAGAAAGTAAGCCTAAACAGGTAATGGACAGAAAACTTCAGGCTTCCAGTCCCCAGCGCAGGGACTCATCTGCGTGAGTACGTAGAGGATTGTGGAGGAAAACTGCTGTGTATTCATTACTCCAAGTCTTCCTCATCACTAGTACTGAATTACTACTTGTTCAGAGTCAAATGACTGCATGGTTTCTCCTGCTTGGCTGTCTTTAAGCTGTAGGGATTTTTCTTTGAAGTTTTAGAGGACCGTTTATTAAAAAAGTGGAAAACTTCTTTGCACTGAAGTTTCATTTCAAGGCACGTAGTTTTGCAGCGTCACGTATAGTTCGTGCAAAAAATAAAAACGCTTTTACATCTCTACAGAACGGATTTAAATAATGTCCGTTAATTTGTCTTCAATTATGCTGCTTTTATTTTCTAGTATCCTCCACCGTTGATTCCTCCTCGGGGAGAAGTAAATGCAGCAGATGCTTTTGATATTGGGTCATTTGATGAAGAGGACACTAAAGGCATCAAGGTATACAGCTTGAAACGCTGGGTCGAGAACAGCACCGTGACTGCCGTGCTTAACGTCGCGTGTGTGCATGCCATTCCTTTGCTTGGGGGGCTGCTGAATGTGCAAGGAGTTGCTTTCAAGCTTGGAAACTTAATCCATGCTGTTAGGAAAGCGGTAGCTTGGGCTGGTTGGCTGATTTGTTGTTGCTCGCCAAGTCCTTATGTTTTATTTTTTTAGATTGACTGAAATCTGCCTTCCTATCAAAAGTTTTATATGATAAAGCAAATATTTCAAATGGTCGGACAACTTTTGGGAAAGATTTTCAAGAATACCTAATGGTTTGTAGTTTCAGGAGTCGTAACTTTTTTCTGGGAGCTTGGATGAATCAAACTAAACTTTATTTTTTACCTCTTACCTTGTAGTCGGAGGGTGCGTTGGGGAACTCTAATAAATGACAAACTGGAGAGTAATGGTAGCAACTTTGTAAGCTAGGAAAGTGATCAAAGAAACTTTCAGGTTCTGATATTATCCAAAATCTAATGAAAACGATGTAAAGGAAAAAAATGAGAAGTCGAAGCTGCTGTCCCATTTCTTGTATGGAGGTGGGGTAGTGTACCCTGCGCACTCTCCCCCTCTTCTGAACCCCCCCGATGCTCCGAGACGGCAGGTGAATCAGTGCTTCTCTTGGGGCCATCCCAGTCGTTCCATAGCTCCAACTTTGTTCTTGTTATTACAGAAGTGAGTCAGGAGGGGAAACTAATTGCTCTAAACTTTATAAGCAAAAAAAACACGTTAAGTACTCACTGTGCCCAGAAAGGAGCTTGTCTGTCAGTGTCACCTGCTGTAATTACAGAAGTTGGCACAGGAAGGATTTCACGTGTTTAAAGGGAAACGCAGAGAACCCAAGATGTTCCTTATCCCAGAAGACTCCACATCTTCAGCGCCAGTGTTAGACTAACAGGATTCCAGTTTCCTGCATTTCTGGAATGCCATAATTTGGAGGAACGTTTTGCAAAGAGAAACCAGGTGGTCTTTTTGTTTATTGAGGGGATCAGATCTTCTCAGCAAGGCCTGTAAATCGTGTGGCCGGATCGCTTCCATGTAGGCTTTGTTCAGGCTGCCTATACGATAAATTTATTCTTAGTCATGAGTCAGGAAGGGGTATCATGTCCAGCTTCTTTGCTCTGCGCTTTCACTGGGATGTCACGGTCTTTTAGAAGGGCCTGAATAATTTGTGCTCCTGAGTCAGCTGCAGCCGGAGCTTCCACTGAGGTGTCAGGAGCCGTCTCTGCCCGTGAGGATGCCGGTTTGGAGTGCCTTGCTCTCCTCCGTTGCCCCCATGGATTATATTTATCCTGCAGAGTGTCCTGTGACACCGAGAACACGTGTTCCCTGAGGTTACAAACTGGAATCCCAACAGTGGATGCCCGTGGCTTCCCCCTCTTACTCGGATGCCGTGAGCAGTCCCTGTAAGCCACTTGCACACACCCGCAGAGATGTCTTCTGGCTTTGGATCCAGTGTGTGTTTTCCTGCTGTGATACAGCTATGGAGCTCTGAAAAGGAGGAGAATATCGAGGAGCGGCTGCAGAGTAACTCATCCCCAGATGAAAGCCTTGAATAATTTTATAGGGAAAACATTGTTCTCTTCTTACACTGCGCCCAAGTGCCTCATGGCTAAGCCCAGACTGTGGCTGTGTCGAGCAACAGGCCATCCTTCCTGAACATCCGGTCACCTTGGTGTCCCTCAGTGCGATTCAAGTACTGTAGTTCAGGGACAGGGGAGAAAAGCATCTGTAAAACAGGAAAATCGAGGTCTACAGCATGCACTGCTGGATTTTGAAGGTTAATTACTCATAATGTAAAATTAAGCTGTGGAAGCACGGAAGCCATCCTCGTGTAAAAGGCACCTTGTCATTTATTCATGGAATTTTTGTGCTGGGGAAGCTTTTAACACAATTAGACGTTTTGTTAACACTGATGATGCAACGAAGTGAGGCTTTCAGAACTGTCAAACCAAACGAGTTGTACACTGATTACCTGTTCTCTGTATGCAAACGATATTGTTGCTTAAACTAGAACCGGTGTTTTCTCTTGTTTGCACCTGATTGCCCTGGTAAGGTTGGAGTTCAGTGTATGTTTTAAAATTATACTGTTATATGGGTAACTACTAACTATTTGGGATAATAATGGTAAAAGTTATTAATATATTGGGGTTTTGTGTTGTTTTTTCTCTTGCAAGTTGCTTGATAGCGACCAGGAATTATATAAGAACTTCCCCCTGGTAATATCGGAGCGTTGGCAGCAGGAAGTAGCAGAAACTGTTTATGATGCAGTAAACGCAGACACAGATAAAATTGAGGCCAGAAAAAGGGCTAAAAATAAGCAGCTGGGCCACGAGGAAGGTAATCTGTCAACTACACCTCTCTCCATCTTTTGCTGCTAGGTAGTAATTCATGTGTCTGAAGTTGCACACGACAGACTCTCATATTCCTGTCATTCACCAGTAATTGTTAGAATTCCTTTAGTCAGTATCGTGTTTCTTAATGTTTTGAAATGCTGTATGATGACATAGTGTTTTGGAAAACCTTTTGTACTTTCTTTTAAAGATTATCATGTACAGCCTTTCATCGTTTTTGTTTATGGTGTACGCTCAGAAAAGAGTGTGTGGGCTTTGATGGCGTGACAGCGCAGCCGAGAAAGAAAACAGGGGGCGTGGGGGGGCAGGTCCTTTGCAGCAAACTTCACTTGTTTGCACGAGGATGTTGCATCACAGGCTCTGAATTTTAGATGGCAACATACAGTGCTTTTACTGGTTAAAAAGAGAGTTTTAATAGAACTTTTGATTCTTTTAAAAGTTAATATGATACTTTGTAAAGAACCAAACACTCTTCTTGCTTACTGCACTGCAGCTCATGTGATTAAGACAGAATAAAATATTTTTCATAGTACTTTTAATTCTTTTACTGGTTAATAAGATACCTTTTTAAGAACTAAATGCTGTTCTTGGTTGCTTCACTGCAGCTCATGTAATTAGGCAGGATTGGCTCTGTGTGTGCCCGCTGGGGTCAGTACCGTGTCCTCTCCCGACACAGCCCGTTTGCAGAACGCTTGCAGGCAGCGCCTGGTTTTGCCTGCTGACGCTTCCTCTTGTTACAGACTACGCGCTCGGGAAGGATTGCATTATGCACGGATACATGCTGAAATTGGGGAACCCCTTCCTGACTCAGTGGCAGCGTCGTTACTTTTACCTCTTCCCAAACCGACTTGAGTGGCGGGGAGAAGGAGAGTCACGGGTAAGTGAGGTTACTCGAGGGAGCAGCGACTTCCAGGGGTGGGAAAGGCAGGTGGGTGTTGAGGCAAACCTGAGAACTTGTACTCTGCCATACCTCCCCTGGCAGTAGGGTTTTGTCCCCGTGTGTCTAGTGGATTTAAGCAACTTCCCTTGAGTATTGCGTTGGCTGACGGGTAGCTGCGCTGCGCTCGGAAACGCTGACTCGAGAAACCTGTTTGCTTTGTTCTGTTACCTTTTTTTAAGGAATTTGGTAGTTCATGGTGTTGTTTTTCGTTTAGGACTTCTGGACTATTTATACAAAAAAACATAAACTGGTAAGGTCATAAATGCTATAGCATTTCGTTTCAAAGAAAATGCTATAGTAACTTTAGTTTAGGCCAGCTGTGGTCACGTGCGAGGCAGAGCGTTTGTATATTTGGTTAAGTAAGGTTGTGGAATTATCAAAACACCCTTACGGTCTGCAGCGAAAGCTTTTCTGCAAACTGTTGTGTATGTTTGCTTATGTGTAAGCATACGCTGCTTACATAGTCCCTTGCAGCTCTTTGAAATACTAAGATTGTCCCTTTTTTTTTTTTTTTAACAGCAGTAATACTTGGAAAATACATACAATTATGTGCAGCTCTCCTGAGGGAGAAGAGTGACTGTTTTGTTTGCAGACACACCTATTTGTAGATTCCTATTTCATGCTGTCATTACTGGCTTTCTTAGCTTATGTTTCATTGGGTCTGCTGAAGCAACCAAGCCCCTTGCTAAATCTCTCTCTTACCTTATAATCTATCTTTAGTTCATGACCCAGTCCTCAGAAATAAAGAAATGGTGGTGTAATGACTGTTAATGTTCATAACTTGACATATATTGGTAGTCCAGAAAAATTAGTAGCTTTATTTGATGGGTAACAGGGTTTTTTTCGAATCATCTGCTTTATTTTTTGTTTTTTGCGCATGCTACAGCAAAACCTACTGACAATGGAACAAATAGTGTCTGTTGAAGAAACACAAATAAAAGATAAGAAATGCATCTTGCTGAGAATTAAAGGAGGAAAACAGTTTGTCCTACAGTGTGAGGTGAGCCGCTTGTTTTTCAACAACTGTTAATCCAACTGTTTGGCGTATGATGAACCGATGGAACGGTTTTTCAAGTCCTCCCATTATACATTAACAGAGGGTAATTGACGGAGCAGAGCTGAATCTAAGCAAAACCGGCAGGATTTATTATGCTTGAATTTTGAAAGCAGGAAAGCTGCAGCTATGCCAGCCGTGGATTGCAGTGGGGTTTGGGCCAAAATGAGTTCAGGCTAATAAATAGGTAAAAACTTCAGAAATTCTCGACCTCCATGGGCTTCGGAGGCCTTGTCGGCGCGGGTCTCGCCGCCGGTAGTTGATGGCCACTGGCGCGTTTGCGAGGCCGGAGGTACGCAAGTCCTCGGAACACCTTGACCGGTGGCAGTTGCTGCCGCCTTGGCGGGGTGACGGAGAAGCAAAGGGCAGCACGTTTCCAATATCCACTTACTCATTCCTTCGGAAAATTGCGATAAGTTGCTTAAAGTGCTGTCTGAGAGAGAAGACGCTATTGGCAGTTTGCTATGAAGTGCCAAACTACTTCTGTATCTCTTTCAGAGTGACCCAGAGTTTGTTCAGTGGAAAAAAGAGCTGACGGAAGCTTTTACCGAGGCACAGAGGTTGCTGCGTCGGGCTCCAAAGTTTCTCAACAAATCTCGCTCAACAGTTGTAGAGCTTTCAAAACCGCCGCTCAGCCACAGGAATAGCAATGGCCTGTAGGAGAGACAAAGTTCCCTTAGGGAGAGCAACTCGGTGAACATGTTGAGTTTCACAGAATCCTTACGAATTACTTTGTGCAATCCTGGACGCGGGATGTGCTTAGAAGAGGAAGAATTAGATGTTTACAGCGTGGGATAACGTCAGAACCCTGTCTCTGGAGGTTGTGAAGAGTGGAACAATGGCAAGCGCATTCGCGCTCCTCGCAGCGCGAGGAAATGACCAAACGTAGAGGCTGCGTATTGCTCCCATGCATTCCCTCACCCCGGCGCTGCCCGAAACGTGGTCCGTGACTCTGGAACTACTGATGGAAGGAAGACACTGTCTTCTCTGCAATACCCTTGCTTGGTTGGGTGCCAAGCCTGGAGACCGAAACGGTTGCTGCTGGCTGGGATTGCACACGCGCGCGTGCGATAGCGACGAACCCCTCAGCTGCAGAAGGAGCTGCGGAACTTGCCGTGTGGGATAACCTTTAATCTGTCGTGTTGCCATGTTCCTCTCGGCCATTACTGCTGACTTGATAATAACCTTGCTCCATACTGCTGATGATCAACAGTGGGACTCTTAGGCACTTCGAAGTACTGAATTCTAACTGTCCTGTGGTTTAAATGTTATTGCTACTCCATGGAAACATTGAACTCGAGTGATTCACTTGGTTTGTTGTACTCACTGATAGTAGCTACCACCGTTTTGCTTCTTCTACGTATATGCAGTACTATAACTGACACAATAGAGTAATAATTGGTGAAGAGGAATTTATGGTAACTTCATCTAGTGCTCTGTTGTATAAATTGACTATTTTAGCACAGTTTTTAAAGAGCAGATTCCTTTTGACAAGTTTACAGTGAACATAAAGACAGTTCTTTTCCATTTCAGGTCAACTGCACTTTTTAAAAATTAAAAAAGAAATTATTCGAATCCAATGCATTCTAGTGCATGTGCTGGGATAAAATGCCTGGGTACCTTGGTACGTGTTCCGGATCGCCCCTCAGTTATGGCACTTGTGGATCCTTCCCTCTTACGTTAAGCGAGTGTGTTCTCATAGCGTAGATATCCCAGACTTTCGCTGTAGCTCAGCTCCGGAGGGTCGTGCGCACATCCCGCGGCTCGGCTTGCAAAAGGATTTTTAACTTTCTTTTCTAGAGAGTTCAAACTGTCCACACTGAGAACAGCCTGAGAATCCTGAGGATGGAACTGACAAAGCAAGCTGACCAAATGGCAGATTTACATTGGTTTTACCCGAGACACCCGTCATGTCATGTGGAAATTCTTGCTAAAGTAAAGGTAGAATCTCTTCGCTGTTAGACAACTCGACGCATGTGAACTCAGCCTTACCCTGGTTATCGTGATGCTTTGTAAGAGACAGGTCACCGCTTAATTTAAGCTTTTTTTTTTTTTCCTTTCCGAGTCAGCAAACCCCTTAGAGAACATTCTCTGCTTAATTATGGCGGTGCAGCTCTCGTGGTCGCTGAAGACAATGGGAATTGCAGCTCCGTAAATGGGGAACAGGAGTTACCATCAGCTTACTCTGCCTACCTGCCGCGCATGCTTCCTCCGGCTCGTGCTGCTGGCGGATAACCACAGAGTTCTGGACCCGTTTCCTTGGAGAAAAGTACAAATTGGCAAAAAATGGGAGAATTATTTTGAAAGCATTAGTTTATCCTGACCACACTTGTAATTAAAATCGGATGTATTTGCTTCTAGAAGTGGGAGTGGCTTTACTCTGCATAGCATGTGCTCTCACACGTCTGCGAACTCTGTCTTGTCTGCTGCAGCATCAGGAAAAAGGATATTTGGGAAGATTCCCCATGTGAGTAAGGAAAAAGGCATTTGGGAAGATAACCCCTGTGAGTAAGGTGATGTCCTTCATCATTTTTTCCCTCTTATTTGTGAAATTACTCTGGATAAAGAGTACCAACCTCTGTCTCTCTTACTTGTGATGTTTAGCATCCCGGCATCCCCTGTAAGGAATAGTTGTGGGGTTTACCGAGGTGTGGCACGGAAAATGCCTCCTCTTGCTGGAGCTGACTGTGCCCTGGATGTTGCTAAGCTTTTCCTAAATACCATGCAATACTTTTCTTCTCAGTTTGGGAAAAACCCCTCAGATGGTGATAAAAACCACTCAGTTCTCGTGTAACTTGTTCCTTCTTTCTGAGCTCATGATCAGGTCCATTCCTCTCTTTTACTTCTTTCCCACGGTTGCTTTTGGTGCTGAATCCTTGTTGGCAGGGTTGTGCGGTTTCCCATGGAGCCTACTGGAGATTCCGGATGCTGGTGTCTGTGCGGAGGGGAGGGACAGATCTGCAATCGGGGAGTTGTGCCTCAAACCCGTAGGTTTTAGATGAAATGAGGGCTGTGTATTGACCCACGGAAACGCGCGTATTTTGGAGCGTAAGGGAGTTGGGATGGGCCTGGAGGATGCTCGTTAGCGTGGTCCGTGTTGCCTTGGTACCCGGCAGCTGAGCTGTGCTGTCGGTCAACCCCACTCGCCGGTGTCCGACGGGAGCGGGATGGTAAAAGAGCCCTTTTTCTTCAGTCAGCGGCTTTATTGACCGTTTGCAGAAGCTTTGTCTTTGTGACTTGTCCACGACCCTGCTGGTAGGAGAGATTCCCGTAGTGAAAAACTCCCATATGCGTGGGGGAAGCTGGGATCCCAGTAACAAGTGACCTTCTGTGTGGAAGGGTCTGGATCTGCTGGTGTGGAGGGAGCACTGGAATTCCGCCCTTCGGAGCAAAACCTTAGGCACTGCTCCGAACTGATCATTCCTGGGTCGGGTACCAGGTTCTCTGAAGTCGGACAAAGATTCTTGATGGTGTTACTTGACATGAGGGTCTTCAGCTGCGTGTGTAGAGAGTCTTGTTGGGCACAGACAGCATAAGGCGTCGTCTTTTGTGTGTTTTGTAGAACTTTATTTTTTTTGATATTCAGGGAAGTAAAGATAAATCCGAGCTTCGGGCATCAACAGAGCTGGATGAATGGTTAAACACAGGATTTTTTTTTTTTAAACAAATTATCCGAAAGCCCTTGAAAACAAAATCAGCGTGTACGTGGATTGTTTCTTGTGCTCAAAACAGAGAATTACGTGCCAGGTGGAGCTGTATTAAACACTCCCCTGACACATCCACATGCCTTCTGTGCTGCAGGGGTTGTTTGCCAGTTATTCCTTGTCTCTGACGTACAAGCTGACGGAATGCGGTAAGACTAGCTCCTGGGAAGCCAGTGGGGGAGTGACGTGATGGTAGAGGGATGTGGGGTTTCTGCAGGAGCTGGGCTGTGGGGGGGTGGGGGTCACGGTGACTTTTAGGGGAGCTCCCGCTCTGTTCTGTGTGCTTTTCCTTTCCCTCTGCTCTGAGGGAGGGTGGTGGTTTTGATACGTGGGAGTTGCTCTAAATTCAATGTCTTGTTTCAGGGTAGGGGTACAGCCAATTCTTGCCCAAATCAGGCTTTTCTGAGTTGAAATTTAAGTGCAGGAGAAGCAAAGCACCAGTTACTCCTGCTGCAAGCAGAGTGTGACTGAGGAGCCGGTTGGAGCTGGGCCGGTAAAGTGTTCCCTGGACACGGTGTCAGCTGAGATGTCCCATCACTGCAGGCGCCAATTTGGCAATTTTTATTATTCAGGTTCATTTGGTGATTATTTTGTAAATTCATGAAACTGTCAAAGGAACATTTAGTAATTTTTTTTTAAGTCCTTCATCTAGCTGTAGGCTCTCCAGTTTGCCAAGTGTAAAACCTTCTTCGCATTAGTTACGTTTGAGCTTTGTGTCTTGTCACGGGTCCAGTGAAGCCCACGGCTGCAGCCTCACCAGCTGCTTCCCAAACGGCTGCTGTGAGATAAGCCCCGCTGGTGTAGATGCTGGAGCCGATCCAACTTGCGTCGACGCTCGCGCTGTGTTCCCTATCCCCCTCCGTTGGGCTTCAAAAACAGGCTCCGAGGGCGCTGGCAGCGGTTGGGTGCACGGATGGGAGACCTGGCGGGTAGGGAGAGCGGGAGGTAGGCCTGGGCTTAGTCGTATTCAGGTTTTCCTTATTTTCCACAACTCCCCTTTAGAAATGCCGCAGCAGTTTTTCTTCTCCTGCTTCTGTCAAGGGGGAGAATAAGGCAATGGGATCATGGGGTTGGTTTGGTGATTAATACGCTTGCAGGTGTTGGCAGTCCAGGGCATCGATAATGGGAAACGTTGAGGATTTGGTGCTAAAATCAAACCTGTGTGTTATCTCCGTTGTTATCCCGTGCAAGCGGGTGCTGTTGATGTCTGGTAGAGCTGCCCGGGGTGTGATCCTGTACCAGCGGCGTTCCCGCCGCGAGCAGGATCCAGCCGCCGGCGCCTGCACGTGCCGTGGCTTTGCGGGGCGGT